CTTGGGTGCAGCTGTGGCCAATGGCTTGGCCTTGGGTGCAGCTGTGGCCAATGGCTTGGCCTTGGGTGCAGCTGTGGCCAATGGCTTGGCCTTGGATGCAGTTGTGGACGTGCCCATGGGCTTGGTGGGGGATTTGGCCATGGCCATGGCTGTGGGCTTAGCTTTGGCTTTGGCCTTGGCCTTACCCCTGAGCTTGAACTCGGGGACCAGGAACTGACCCTTTGCCTGCAGCTTCTCCTGCAATAACTTTTGCTGCTTCTGTAGCATCTGCTGGTCCTGGTCCAGCTTCCTTCCCCAGGCCCCGGAGATCCTTAGCTTGGCCTTGACAGGTGGCAGGGTGCCACCAGCCCTGCCACTGTCAGCGGAGACTTGAGCCACCTCCACCCTCTTCACTGTCACTTCAGACACGCTCTCTGCCTGCAGCTGCCGCACCCGGGCCTCCAGTACTGAAGAGAGGGAAAGGGGACTCATTCAGGGCCAGAATACACGCTCCAGGATGCAGAAGGAACTAAGGTCATGCAAGTCTTCCAGGTCCACCCCTGACTTCATGCTTACACCCCACCACCTTGTCAGGGCCTCTCTATCCAGAGCCCAGACCAGCTCTGTAGTCCTCCAAGCCAGTTCAGCCACGTCTCCCCATCACTGGTTCCTCTCTCTCCAGGTGCCGAGGCTAAGCCCCTGGCATCTCCCATAATGCTAGGCCTCACTCTCGGCGCCTCTTGTTCTCCCCTCACTTGCTCTGCTCCAGCTCTGCCCGCTTCACTCTGTCTCAGGGCCTTTGCCTCTCCCTGAACACTCAGCTGACCCTGAGCTGCCTATTCCTAGTCTAGACCGCTGCCTGCTAATCACAGCCCTGCCTGTTAACACCCCACACTGTTTCTCTGCATCCTCGCTGGGCTGTTCTATACCACCAGAGAACGCCACACTGTCCAGTGCTGAGCACTGATCCTGGGAGACAGGCAACCCAGGCTCCTGTGTTCTCTAGTCACTTTTTATTGTTTTTGTTTGTTGGGGTTTTTTTTCCAGTACCGGGAACTGAACTCGGGCTTATGCTTGCCAGGCAGGCGTGGCGTCGCTGCTGAGCTCCAGCCCCAGCGCTGTCTGGTTTTTTTTGAGAGTCTTGCTATGCAGTTCAGGCTGACCTTGAACTATGTAGCCTAGATTGGCCTCAAACTCCCAGTGATTATCCAGCCTCAGCCTCCCAAGTGCTGGGATTACAAGTGTGCACCACCATGCCCAGCTCCAATCAAGTTTTTATCAAGTGACCAATATACAACTCTGCTTTTGGGTTTCTCTTTAAAGATCCCTTCTTTCCAGGCATGGTGGCACACATCTGTAGCCCCAGTACATAGGAGGCCAAGGGGACTGTCTTAAAAAGAAAGATTAAAATTAAATTTTTTTTTTGGTACCGGGGATCGAACTCGGGTCCTTGCACTTGCACAGCAGGCGGCAAAATCACTAAGCTAAATCCCCGGCCCCTTGAAATTAATTTTTTAAAAAACTCTTTAATATATCACACTCATTTGTCAACAATGAACTCATGGGCTATAGCTCTGGAACTCATGTGTGAATGGAGTTGATGTGACACCTCCAGTTTCTCCTTAAAGACTGAATGACAGCACTTCACATGGGGACCATTCAAAACAGCAAATTGTTGGGTGTGGTGAGATATGCCTATAATTCCAGCACTTGGGAGACTGAAGCAGGACAACTCCCATAAGTTCGAGGCCAGCCTGGGCTACACAGTGAGTTCAAGGCCAGCCTGAATTACATAATGAGACCTGTCTCAAAACACCAAAACAAGGGGCTGGGGATTTAGCTCAGTGGTTTCGCTGCCTGCTGCGCAAGTGCAAGGACCCGAGTTCGATCCCCCGGTACCAAAAAAAAACAACAAAAAAAACCCCACCAAAACAAAACAAACCAGCAAGATCACCACCAGAAGACATAAAAATGCAAGAAACTTGGCACTAAACATGTCACATAAGCCTGGTGTGGTGGCACATGCCTTTAATCCCAGCACTCAAGAGGCTGAGGCAGGAGGATTGCCATGATTTTGAAGCTACCCTGGGCTATTCAATTCAAGGACAATCTGAACTACTTAGCAAGACCCTGTCTCAAAACAAACAAACAAATAAAGAGGGCCAGGGATTTAGCTACACCTGCCTCGAAGGCACAAGGTCCTGAGTTCGATCCCAGTATGGCAGAAAAAAAAGAAAGAACAGAACAGAACATGTCATATAAAGGACCTTTGCTTGTAATGCAAGTTGAGGGAAGGCAGGTAAGTACTTCACGGCCCTGGGAGTGGCGTGCGTCCCTCTGCACATGTCTGTGAGGAGTGGTTTCCACATTACACATTAATTTGGGTGAGCAGGTGGATGTACTAACACAGATTCCTGGAACAGTGAAACCCAACTGTACTTGCTGTCTGTTCTCTGCCTCTTCCACCAGGACCCCAGCCCATCTGCACATCTACTCAGCTGTGCTGGTAGCTGATGGCTGGAACTGGAAAGGGCTCAGAACAGATTTGCTGCAATGAAAAGATAAGAGTGATCTGGGTCCTCAGATTACTCCAAATCTCAAGTGCATCTTTGGAAAAAACAGATAGAAGGTGTGTGGAGAAGGAAATGAGGGAGAGGTGGTACTGGCTTTCTCCAGGGAAGGTAACATCAGAGCTGAGGCCTGGGAGAGAAACCAGCTTTGCAGGGAGCAGAGGAGAAGCAGGTACAAAGGCCCTGGTGCATGAGTGGCTCATCTTTCCCTCAGCAGAGAGGCCAGTGTTGGCTACAGTAGATGGTGGGTTCATGGTCCAGAGTGGGGAGATGTTATTCTGCTCATGAGAGGACAAAACTGGAGAGTATATGACTTGATTTAAGTTTTTGGAACTTCCCTCTGCTTAGAGGATGAGTCTGGGCCTTGCTATAAAACAAGTAGGCAGATAAGAAAGGGAACCCTGCTGCTGAAGGTGAAAGGTGATTGTACTTGTCTTTGCTCTCCTATGCTAGACTTTTCTGTAATTTTCTGTAATAACAAGTTCTTTCTATAGCCTCCCTCCCCCCTCCTCCTCCCTGGCTGCTGGCCTGCAGGAAAGGAAACCAAGATGCTGGACCCTGGCCTGGACAGGGGGAGAAAGCACAAAGACAACACACCTCCCTCTGATCAGGGCCCTGGGCCATCTTGTCAGCTAGATTTGGTCACCTAACGCTGAAAGCAGAGACAGGCAGTTGAGAGTTCAAATCCCAGCTCTGCACGTGTAGCTACACGTGGCCCTGGGTACCTCTCTAGGCTTAATTCAGAGCCTCAACTGTCTCCCTAGAAGACCGAGGCTCAGTGGGGCCCTGGGGTGGGGCAATCACACCAGCTCAGAGCCAGCCCCGCACACAAGGCCCAGGACACACATGGGATGTCTGATCAGTCAGTGCCACCCTATGCCACCATCCTAGATGGCCATGGGGACCACAGCCTGAGTCTCAGGGTTGTCTCTGCGTACTAAGAAGCCTGTTCCCTTCTTGTGGGGCCACTGTGCGAACCCAGGGGGTGACCCCAGCAGAGGATGGAGCTTCTTCTGCTTCCACTCACCCTCCAGTAGTTCTACATGGCCCCAGTCCTTCCGGCGTTCCTGCTCACAGGGGCTGGCAGAGGAGTTCCTTCTGGGACTCCAGAGGCCACCGAGGATCCCTGCGGAGAGACAAAGGAGGCTGAAGTGGGCCTGGGGGTCCTCACGGACAAATTGCAGAGTCAAAGAGCAAAGGCGCCCTATAGTCAGTAGTAACTATCAGATGTCAAGGGGTTAGGGAGCTTCTGATCAAGACTCAAAGGTCAACTTTCCCTGTGGACTCGCCTCAGGAGGCGGGGCCGGGAAACGCAGGTCTAGTCCGCGAGTTCCCCAGGACTCTGCAGGGCAAAGGGCAAAGGTTGAAAGCCGAAGGTCACAGCTGCGCGGCAGGAGACGCAGTGGCAGCAGAGTCATCCCAGGCCGTCGGGCTTCGGCAAGTTACCTTCTTTGGCCGTGTTGCAGGGGGGGCCAGAGGACCGCAACGCCCTGCTGAGATCCGCCGCACCTCGGCCCCAGCGCAGCGCAGCCATGCTGCCGCCCGGGCTCCTACACCGCGCACGCGCCTACACCGCCTACGGGGAGTTGTGGTTCAGCGGCCGACGGGAGCTGCGAAGGGTCACTTAGGCCGGAAGTGAGCTGCCAGAACCACAACTCCCCTGAGGCAGCGGGGCCAGAGGCAGCAAGGTTTGAGCTGGAGAAGCCTTCTGATTGGTATTTCCCTCTGTGCATAAGGAAAGGGCTGAACCACCGTTGCCTTGGCAATTTGCTTTTTGGGGTTTTTTGTTGTTGTTGTTTTTTGGTACCGGGGATCGAACTTGGGACCTTGCGCTTGCGAGGCAGGCGCCGGAACTACTGAGCTAAATCCCCGGCCCTGCCTTGGCAATTTGGGTGCATCTAAGGCCGTCTTTGGAAGGACCAGAATCTGGGTTTTTGTGTATGTGTGTGGTTTTTTTTTTTTGCTACCAGGGATTGAACTCCGGTCCTTGCCCTTGTGCAGCAAGCAGCGAAACCACTGAGCTAAATCCCCGGCCTTGTGTGTGTGTTTTTAAAACTATACTCATCTAGCCGGACGTGGTAGCACACGCCTGTAATCGCAGCATTCAGGAGGCTGAAGCAGTAGGATCACCACTAGTCCGAGGCCACCCTCAGCTACAAAGTGAGTTCAAGGCCAGCCTGGACTACATAGCGAGACTCTGTCTCAAACAAACAAAACAAAACAAACAAAACCTATAAAGTACACTCACCTAATAATTAGGACAGCGTTCTGCAATGAGATTCCTGTCCACATCCTTCATTGATCCAACAAGATGAGTGGGGGACTATTAATATCCTTACTTTATTGTGGAGGAAGTTGAGGTTCAGAGAGGTCAGTAAAGTGACCCAAAGATGCACAGCGTGGACATTAGGTAGATTAAAGGGAAAGTGCAGGTCTGTCTGACGCCCAACTGAAAAGCTGAGGGACAGTGGGGGCCTCGTGTTTCCTGAATATTTCCTCATACATAATATTTCCTTTCTCAGGCCTCAGTTTATCCAGTAATCCCCAACCATCCAGGGACAGGGGCGGAATGGAACGGGGAGCATGGATTAAATGGGCGTCTGATAAAAGGAATGAGAAGATCCCTGGAACCCAGATCCATCTCCAGCTTCCAGGAGACTCTGCTCCGGGAAGCCAGGATCTGAAGGGCCTGACCACCTAGTATATGGTTAGGGAAACTGAGGCCAATAACGGGGAGCTCTGGTATGTGAGGGATCCAGCTGAGGAACTGCTGGGATGACTACAGTGTCAGCAAGTGCAAAGGCCCTGAGGCAGGGGCCTGTGAAGAGCTGGAGGGGCTGAGCTGAGTCAGGTGGGAGAAAAAGATGTCATGGGGAGCCCACTGGCCTTCCTCTGCTCAAGTTGCCACTGTCCCCAGTGCCTGTATTTCTATTTCCCCACCAGCCCAGGGAGGGTGGCACCTATGAACAGCACATTCCAGGCAGAGCCACCCATGCCACCTGCCCACCATTATGTCACCAGCCAGGAATGTGTCCAGCAGACAGCAGCAGCCGGCCTCACCTGCCCATCTCACCCTGGGATGCCTGCCGTGCTATGTGACTGCAGACCTGGCTCAGTCCCGGGGTCTCCTTCCTAACCCAGTGGACTGAATCAGCAAGGCCTGCTCCCCAGGGCCTAGAGATGCCCTCACACCCTGTGCGCTGGCAGAGGAGGGACCTTGGTGGAAGTCAAGACTTCTGGATTCTTTCTCTACTCTTTTTGTCTCAGATTCCACTTCTATTTAATCTGTTAGTTTATCCCAGTTTTTATGAGACAGGGTCTTGCTATGTAGTCAGGCTGGCCTCCAACTCATGGCCATCCCCCTGCCTCGGCCTCCCAAGTTATGAGATGACAGGTGTGCACCAACGCGCCCAGCTTTCCTCTTGGACTTGATTAGATCCCCTAACCATTATCTCCCTTAGCAGGAGTAATTCTCATCTCAGCTCCCCCGAAAAGCTCCTTGAAACATCCACGAAGAGCTCTGTCAGTGTCCACCTGTATTGGACTCAGCTCCTTGGGTGTGAGTTGTTCTTCGTATTGTATTTTCTTCTTTTTTATGTTTTCAGACAGGGTCTCTCTGTGTACTAAGTTGGCCTTGTACTGGCCAAGTTTCTCAGGCTGACCTTGAACTCACAATCCTCCTGCCTCAGCCTCCCAGTGCTGGGATTACAGGTATGCGCCACCACACCCAGCGTTTTCATTGTATTCCTTTGTGGCTTATTGTCACCATGGCAGTGTATGACACCTGTTTTTCCACTTCTGATGGTCATCTCAAATTTCCACATAAACCTTAAGTAAGGGAAATAGTAACATACAAGCCAGGTCGGGATGAACAGAACTAAGATGAGGGAATACAGCTGAGTGAGGTGATGCCCTCCTGTCATCCCAGCACTCAGGAGGCGGAGGCAGGAGGATCATAAATTTGAGCCCAACCTGGGCAACTTAGTGAGACCCTGTCTCAAAATAAAATATAAATTAAAAAGGGCTAGGGGTGGAACTCAGTGTGAAGGCCCTGAATTCAGCCTCCAGTACTGAGAAAGAAAATGAAAAAAAAGGGCCGGGGATTTGGCTCAGTGGCGCCAAGCCTGTCTGGCAAGGACAAGGTCCTGGCCGGGGATTTAGCTCAGTGGTTCCAGCGCCTGCCTCGCAAGCACAAGGTCCCAAGTTCGATCCCTGGTACCAAAAAAAAAAAAAAAAAAAAACAGACAAGGTCCTGAGTTTGATCCCTAGTGCCACAAAATAAGTAAGATGTCTGCATTGAGAAAGATAAAGAATTTCTAGGCACAGGATCAGGTTCCTGGGGTGCTGGCACAAATTGCCACAAACTCGGTAATTTAAACCAACAGAAATGTGTTTCCTTGCTAGAGAAGTCCTGGGTCAGTGTCATTGGTCTGAGACCCAGGGCTGTGCAGGGCTGTGCTCCCACCTGTGACTCCAAGGAAGGTCCTGTTGCTTCTCCCATGTCTGGGGTTCGAGGAGTCCCTAGCCTTGTGGCCAGGACACCCCAGCATCCAGTATCTCATGGCCTTCTCCTCTTCTGTCTGAAGAATCTCCCTTTGTCATGTTGGCACACACCTGTAATCCCAGCAATCAGGGAAGCTGATGCAGAAGGATTACAAGTTGGACCCCAGCCTGGGCAATTTAGTGACTTAAGCAAAACCCTGTCTCAGAATAAAAAATAAAAAGGGCTGGAAGCCAGGTGTGGTGACACACACCTGTGATCCCAGCACTCAGGAGGCTGAGGGAGGAGGATTGCCTTGAGTTTGAGGCCAGCCTGGACTACAAAGTGAGATCCTGTCTCAAAATAACAACAAAACAACAACAATAACAACACACACACACATAGACACACACACACACACACACAATAGTGCTGCGAATGGAGTGCAAAGGCTCTGGGTTCAATCCACAGTCCTGGGGGGACTCAGGTCAGCGAATTTTCTCAAACTGAACACATCTGTGTGAACAGGTGTTCCAGGAAAAGTAACAGCTATCAGCAGCCCCAAAGCCTCCTGGCGTCTCTGGAGCCCTTCCTAAAATGTCCCATCAGGGCGATTCCTTTTATGTCTGTCTGCTTTGAATTAGCATTGGTTGGGAGACTCACCTATGCTGTGTATGGAGGAGTCCTTTTTCATGGCTGTGTAGAATTCTGGTGTTAGGGTTTGTGGCAACACAATTACCCATTCTCCTGCAGATGGAAAGCAGAAGGAGAATAAAGAATTGGGGAGGGCCAGGGATGTAGCTCAGTGGCACCACACCTGCCTGGCAAGCGCAAGGTCCTGAGTTTGATTCCCTAACAATGACAAAAACAGAATTGAGGAGTTTGGGGCAGGGTGTTTAGGTGTTCATTGTATGATTCTTGTTCTTTTAACTGTTCTGTGAGCTTGAAGTCCTTCAAAAACTCATCAAAGGCTGGTTGTGTAGCTCAGCAGTAGAGCACATGCTGCCCGACAGAGGCCATGGCATAAAAGAAATTGTAATTAGCCAGGCACAATGGCTCACATCTGTAATTCCAGCTACTCAGGAGACGGAGGCAGGAAGATCTCAAATTTGAGGCCAGCCGGAACAATGTAGCAAGACCATGTCTCAAAATAAAAAGTAAAAAGGGCTGGGGATATAGCTCAGTCCAAGGCTCTGAGTTCAATCCCTTGTTCTGAAACAAATTAAAAGGAAAAAAAAGAAAATCACAAGGAAATGTCACTTTAACCCCTCCAGCATGGCTATAATTTCAGCAATAAATGGGTTGCCTGGCAAGTGTGAGGTACTGAGCTCAATCCCTGATACCAAAAAACAAAACAAACCAACAAACAAAAAAAAGCAATAAATGGGAAACAATGTGGAGAAATCAGAACCTCGTGCTTCCCTGGGAATGTAAAATTGTGTGGCATGGTAGAAAACAGTGTGGCAGCTCCTCAAAGGCTAAAAGTAGAGCCACTGTGTGACCAGGCATTTCGTGTCCTAGACAGATAGGTCTCCAAGAGAAAGAAAAACTCAGTCACATGAGGACTTGTACACAGATGTTCACAGCAGGACAATTCACAACAGCCGAAGTGGAAACGGCCTCAGTGTCCATGGAGGGATGAATGGACCCACACGGAGAGGTCCATCCACACCCTGGACCATCACTCAGCCAGGACAGGAGCAAGGCTGTGACGTTTGCCACAGTGTGGATGGACCCTGAGGACGTTGTGCTCAGGGAGAGTCACCAGACACAGAGGACACAGCGTTGGCTCCGTGGACAGGAAACGCCCAGGACAGGGGATTCCAGAGACAGGAAGTGGACTCGTGGGTACCAGGGCTGGGAGGAGATGGGTGACTGCTCATAGAAACAGATGAGGCTTCTTTCAGGGTGATGAAATGTTTTGGAATTAGAGGTGGTGGCTGCACAGCTTTGTGAGTGCATTAATGACACTGAATTGTCCACTTTAAGTAGGTGATCTGTATGGTATGAAGATTGTATTTCAATAAAGATATCATTAATAATTTACCTCAGGGCCGGGGATTTAGCTCAGTGGTTTCACCGCCTGCTGCCCAAGTGCAAGGACCTGAGTTCGATCCTCGGTACCAAAAAAAAAAAATTTACCTCGGACACCTAGGGCGTGTCCTGTGGGATGCAGGTGGGGACACTTCAGGGTGGGCTGTTTCATGGAGGGGTAGGGTATTGACCAGCATGTCACCTGATGATGTCCCTTTCCTGGCCCACTTCACAGAGGAAGAACGAGTGCGGATGTCAAGGGGGACTCCAGTACTTCTCAGGTGTTGCCTCAGGGTACGAGGTCAGACCTGGGTCTGGGGACCCCGAGACACTCAGTCCTGGGCCCGGAAACACGGTGATCGCCCAGCTGCTGTATGACCTTCGGTCAGGAAGCGTTGGGATCCCTTGAGCCACTGGAAAGGAATCCTGGCGTCTGGCAGGACCGGTTGCCCTCCTGAGGGCTCCCCAAAAGGGCAGGCTCTCAGCTGTCTTCACCCTGCTGCTATTTAAAGCTGCTGCCTGGGCCCAGGGACGCAGGATGGGGCTGGGGAGCAGAGGGAGGACTTGGAATCTGGGGCGAGTCCTGTGAGGGGGTTGCTCCGCCCAGCCTCAGTTTCTCTGCCTGATGGTGACTCCTCTTGGCTCTGTGTCCCTCTTGTAGCCCCCAGCACACGGTGGGTGATGAGGTGCCAGGCTGGGGTGCTGCATGCCTGGGGTGTGGCCGGGCGTGGGTGCAGTGTGGGTGTGAATGAGGCTGCCAGGGCCCTGCAGTTTGGTTGTCACCCAGACGTCTCCTCCAGCCAGGAACACAGGGACACACCCTCCTGTCCCTCCAGCCCATTTGGGAGAGTCGAGGTACCAGGGCCAGGAAGTGGGAAGTGCAGTCCAGGGCCAGGCTGCCACAGCTGACACACAGGCCGGAACCTTCCACCTCTGTCTCCACCGGGTCTCAGTTGCCCACATTGCCCCTAAACTCACTACTCTCTTGCCTCAGCCTCCCCAGTGGCTAGGGCGACAAGTGTGCCACCATGCCTAGCGCTGTCATCTCTTTCTTTCTTTTTGGTACTGGGGATCGAACTCAGGTCCTTGCGCTTGCGAGGCAGGAGGTGAAACCACTGAGCTAAATCCCCCACCCTCTGTCATCTCTTTCTGTCCAACACAGACTCTGTCCCTGTAACTTTCTGTGTCTCTCTTTATCTGTTTCTTAGTCTCTCCTTGTCTCTGTCTCTTTCTCTCTTGTCACTGTTTTGTTTTGGTTTGAGTTTTTTGGGACAAAGTCTCACTATACAGTTCAGGCTGGCCTTGAACTCATTATGTAGCACAGGCTGGCCTCAAACTCGAAGCGACCCTCCTGCCTCAGCCTCCCTAGTGCTAGGATAACAGGGGTGCACCACCGTGCCCAGGACTGTCTCTGCTCTTTGCTCTTTCTCCTGTAAGTCTCTCTTGTCTTTGTTTCTGGCTCTCTCATCTCTGTCCCTGTGTCTCTCTAGTCCCTGTCTCTTCGATCTCGGTCTCTCTCCCCTTGCCGACCCCGCCCCCTACCTCCGCACCTCCCGGGCCCGCGCCCGCCGCCGCCACCCGGAGATCTACACCTCGCCCTCCACTCCGCGAGACAAACAAACGCGCCAGGCGCTGTCACCAGGACCCGCCCGCTTGCCCCGCCTTCGTGATCCCATTGGCCCTCCACGGCCCACCTCCGTGCAGTGGCCCCGCCCCACGGCTCCCCATTGGCCGCTTGCTCTCGCCCGGCGGGCCGCCCCGGCCGCACAGGGCCAAGCCGCGGACGGGGGAGGCAAATGCGAGCGGCAAGCGGAGCGGGCCATGCGCCGCCGCCTCTGGCTGGGCCTGGCCTGGCTGCTGCTGGCCCGGGCGCCCGGAGCCGCGGGGACCCCAAGCGCACTGCGGAGACCACGCAGCTACCCGCACCTGGAGGGCGACGTGCGCTGGCGGCGCCTCTTTTCCTCCACCCACTTCTTTCTGCGCGTGGACCCCAGCGGCCGGGTGCAGGGGACCCGCTGGCGCGACGGCCGAGACAGTGAGTGCGGCGGGGCGGGGACAGCACGAGGCAGGTGACAGCAGCAACGGCAGCGCTGAGCCGGGCGTACTCTGTCGCCTGCTGTTAGATGGGCGAGGGTGGGCAATAAGGCCCTGGCTCCGCTGCAAAGAAGGGGCTGAGTGGGGTCACTGGGCCCCGCGGTAAACTGAGGCTACCTGAAGCGCTACAGGCCCGGGCGGTCCCTAGATAAGCACTGACGCGGTGTGGTGGCACACACCTGGCATACCAGCACTCTGGGAGGCTGAGCCGGGATGAGGTAAGCTTGAGCCTAGCCTGGGTAACTTAAATTAGCGAGACCCTGTCTCAAAATAAAAACTAAAGGAGGGCTGGGGATGTCACTCAGTGTCCAGGCCCTGAGTTCCATTCCCAGCACCAAAAACAGAAAAGATAAGCACCGAACTCTGGACTCTGAAATAAAGTCAAGACCTGTCTGCATCAGGGTCCCAGTGGTTTCTTTTCAGACCCCCCAGCTGGGAGCTGAGGAGATCAGCTCTGGGTCATCCCAGGGGCAGTGGAGCTGGGCCTCTGTCCCCCTCTGCCCTCCTGCTGGGCCCTGCCCAGAGCACAGGTGCTCAGTAGTGTTTGTGCAGTGTTGTGGTGTGAAGAGGACAGGCCAGCGAGGAGGCAGCTGGGTACCTGGGCGCCATGGGCAGCAGGAGCTGGGCAGGGGCACGCTCAGGGCTGGCAGCCTGAATCACCACCCTCAGGCCGACGATCACCCTACCCCTCCCACAGCCTTTCATCCGGGGCCCCAAGGCCCTCATTAGGGTGCACACGACAGGGCAGTGACAGGGGACTGGCTGGGCAGGTCCAGCCATGGTGGCATGGCCAGGCGGGGTGGCCTCAGGCTGGGGGAGAGGCCTGGCTGTGCCAGGTGACCCGGCATGGTCACTCCTTCAAGCCTCGGTTTCCCCATCTGGACAGGGACCGGGGTGACAGCTGAAGGACAGCCCTGTGGGTGGAGCGTAGGGCTCTCTTTAATGCAGGGGTTATCTCCTGGGTATTTCTTGTGCAGTGCTGAGCACAGGACAAAGTGGTGAGTGAGGCGGCCCCTCTCGTGGAGCTCCCTGCGGAGAGGAGAGTAATGTCCTCATTTCAGAGGGGCTATGTGGGGCGCAAGGAAATAAAGAGCGGGCTGTGCGTGGGAAGGTGGCCAGTAGCATCATTTGGGACTCAGAGGCCTCTCTGAGGTGGCAGCTGAGTGGAGCCTCTGCATACCTGGTGGGAAGTGGCAGGTGCAAAGGTCCTGGGGTGACTATGAGCACAGTGGCCTCGGGGGCAGTGTGGACCATGTCTGACTACCCTGCGGGACCTCAGTCCTCCAGGTCCACAGTAAGGACCAGAGGGCAGAGACTGAGGTCCAGACAAGGCCTCTGAGCCCTGGGCAGCTGAGGGTGGTGGGTGGCTCCTCCCTGAGCCTGCTCTGCTGGACGGTGAGCTGGCCCTAGACCTGGGGAGGCATGCCCTTGGTGAGCTTTTCCTACCCAGCATGGGCTTGCATGCCGAGGTTATGGGGGTACAGGATACCCACCTGACCAGGGTCTGAAGCCAGCTCCCAGGCCTTTAGTGCTCCACCTACTCCTGGTCTCATCCACTATGTCTCTGCCTCCCGTCACCCTCACCTCCTTGGGAGCTCAGAGCCACCTATCGTGGGCCCTGAGGGTCCCCACCCAACTTGAGGTGCACAAAGCAGGAGCTTGGGAAAGAGGTGTGGGGAGGGGAAGGGACCCTGGCCTGTGGCTGCCCTGACCCAGCCCTTCCATGCAGGCGTGGTTGAGATCCGTTCGGTTCGCGTGGGCGCCGTGGCCATCAAGGCAGTGCATTCGGGTTTCTACGTGGCCATGAACCGCCGGGGCCTCCTCTATGGGTCGGTGAGTAGCAGGCAGTAGCAGTGGTGGGTGGCGGGTGGGAAGGCGCGGGATAGTCAGCGGTGGGCGGGGCCGCGCATCCCGGGCTTACGCCCCGCCCGGCAGCGGGCCTACTCTGTGGACTGCAGGTTCCGGGAGCGCATCGAGGAGAACGGATACAACACCTACGCCTCGCTGCGCTGGCGCCACCGCGGCCGGCCCATGTTCCTGGCGCTGGATGGACTCGGGGTCCCCCGGCGAGGCACCCGGACGCAGCGGCACCAGCTGTCCACCCACTTCCTCCCCGTGCTGGTCTCCTGTGGATCTTGCTGGGTGGGGTCAGCTGGTGCCTGAGTCAGGCTGCGAGTAGGGGCCACCTGTCCTTCCGCTCGTTCCCATCTTAAGCTTTCATAGGTCCCTACTGTGTGCCAGGAACTAGGGACACAAGGAGGGTTCCCCACAGCAAGGCCTGGCCTCGGGGAGCCCAAGCTGTACCCATGTGTCTGGGAGGAGGGCCTGAAAGTCAAGGCCAGCTGTCAGGTCTGGGAAGGGCTCCGGTGGGACTACTGTGGAGACGGCTTGGAGGCAGGGACACACCAGTGCCGGGGATGACTAGGGACAGGGTGTCCAGGAGGAGGAGGGTGGGCAGGCTGCCGAGGGCACAGCACACAGGGCCTAGAGCCCTGAGACAGTGATGGAGGCAGCACCCAAGAGCCAGGCCACAGCCTCAGGACGGCCACAGGACGGACCCTGAGGGCGTCATCCTGACCATCCGCTGAGAAGCCGCAGGAGGGTGAGAGGCAGAGAGGGGAAGGGGCCACGAGCCAGGGCTTTGGGCTGTGACTGCGACCTGGGTTCTCCCCCGTCCCGGGAGGCGCAGCCCCTCCACCTTTGCCTGGATTCAGCCCTGGGAGGCCCGTGTCAGCTCCCGGCCCCAGAACAGTCAGGTAATAAACGTTACGAACCATCATCATGATCATGTGTGCGGTCATTTGTTGCAGTGGCAAGACACATGGGCCCGAAGGCCTCGGGAATGTGGAGGCCTCGGAGCCTCCTGGCACTCATGGGATGGGCAGGGTGAGCAGGCTGGCCGAGGGGCTCCGTGCCAGCATCCTGGGGGGAATGGACCTCCGAATCTCACACATGGCCAGTGTCTTCTGTTAACCTGCCCTCCAGATTTCTAAGGCGAGCCTGGCTCTTACCAGGCATTTCCCTCCTGGCTGGCTCGTTTCCCACACAGTTGGCAGCTTTGGCCACTTAAGCAGTGACAATCACAGAAATCAAACCTCATCTCTCCAAAAACTGTAACTCAAAGCTCCCATTTCCTACCAGGAACGAGGCCCAGCTGTGCGACTGTGCTTGGTAGTTCCGTAGCAGGGCAGAGGACAGAGGGCAAAGGATAAACTGCTTGGGTCTTCACTGGCTGCCAGCACAAATCAGCACCAGCCTAGTGGCTGGAGAGACACGTCGACAGCTCTCAGTACCAGAAGTCAATGTCCCAAAGCCAAGGACAATCCAAGACAGTCATCCATCTTGGTGCCTTCAATCTCCCCTGGCAAGCACCACTCCAGTCGGGTTCTGGGGTTAGTGTGAGCATCCATTGGGCTATCAGCCGTGGTCAGCAGTCTCGAGCATCGTTCTCTGCTACCGGTCATGTCTGCCAGGGTTCATCTGCTGTGGCGGGGCAGTGTGGTCCAGGAGGTACCCAGCTCCGCACATTGGTATGGACACAGCGGGATGCCCGGCATGGTGTAGACCCCACGAAGACCAGGGACAGGACCACGTGGTCCTTCCACATGCCAGGCAGAGGTGGGGCTCAACCATCCATCCTTCCACATCACCTGGAACCGGGGCCACAACTTTAGGACTCTGAAGATCGAGTTGCCCAATGTCACACCTGGCACCCGAGCCCAGTCAGAAGCAAGTTCACCATCCCAGCCAGCTTCACCCTCTACCAGCCCCACAGGTGACCAGGGCAGTGGACACGGAGCTGACTGTGTGGGGCTCCTGTGGTGGGCCCAGGCCCTGCTGATGGCCTGGATCTGCTGTTCAACCCCGGATCTGCTGTTCAACCCCCAGGGCACTGCCATCTTGGTGACACTTCCATGGCCTGTTTGCCCCCGGTTTCCCTTGGTGGAAGTACCCCCCCCACACACAAGGTGGACTCGACCAGGCCAGCCACATTCGGGCAGAAGGAACACACCAAGCCACTGGCTCCTCGAGTAGGTATATTTTAAATAGCTTTCAAGATACACATATTTCTCCCTTTAAAAAATGTCTGTGGAGCAGTTTTGTTCCTGGTTCTGCTGGTCACCCTGCGGTCCCGAGCTGGCACAGGCTGTGGGTCGCAGATGGGCCCCAGGCCAGTCCTGGCGAGCAGCTCCAACCGGCCTCTCCACAGATCATGCGCGGCCGCGTGTGAGCCAAAACGTCCATTTATTTCAAAGCAGTAATAATTTAAAATCATAAAAACCATTCTGCTGTGAACACCTGGAGGGTGAGGTTAGACAGGACAGGAGCTGGGCCCTTGCGCACGAGCAGCAGGGCCCGTGTCCCTCAGGCACGGCCCAGCTCTGGTCCCTGGAGGGCCAGTCCCCTGGGCGCAGCCTGGTCACTGTGTGCTGTGGCAACGACGGGAAGCGGTGAGTTTCCCTGTGGCTGGCGGCTCAGGAGTTGCTTGTGGCGTTCTCGTTGCTGGGCGAGCTGGAGGACGAGGATGACGACGAGGAGGAGAAGGTCACACCGCTCAGGCCTGGGGGGTTCGTGGCCGTGTTCTGTCCCGTGAGGCTCTTTCGGCAGACAGGGCAGCTGTCGTGCTTTGTGGGAACAAGGCCGAAGCCGAGGTCAGGGCTGGGCCACGTGGCCTACACGAGAGCAGGGTTGAGATGGGGCATGGGAAGAGGTGGGTGCGGCCAGCGGCCCTGCTCACCTGCTCCAGCCAGGGCACAATGCAGCCATCGTGGAACAGGTGGTTGCAGGGCAGCTGCCGCACACTCTCGCCCAGCGCATAGTCGTCCTTGCACACGGGGCACTCGAGTCCAGAGCCTGTAGGAAGTGGGATGAGGCCGGGCAGGCCCTGGACCCCTAGGGACCCGCTGTGACCAGCCCAGCCCTGGGCATAAGGTCCTTGGCATCCAGACCAGCCGTACCTACGTGCTCCTCGGAGACAGGAATGGTGGGCAGGGCCTGGATCTTTTCCTTGTCTGCAGGCGGGGGGCCCGTGTTCTCAAACTGGTTGAGGAGCTGAAAGACAAGAGGACAGTGCCGGGAGCTCCTCCGGGACGGGGGCGGGGCTCGCTCCTGAGGGGCGCAGGCCGCCTTTCAGGCCAGTGGCTGCTGCAGGACCTGCAAAAGCACCGGGACTGCGTTCGTCCTGGCTGGAGGGAGGTCTCCAGGCCCAGAGAGGCTCCACCTGTGCCCCCCGCCCCCGCCCAGGCACACAGGTCTGTGGGTCCCCCCTCAGGACAGGCGGGGGTCTAGCACCCAGGCAAGAGGGTGCTTGGCAACCCAGGTGATTTTACAACACATTCCAGGGGACATCAGAAACAGCCAGGAAGCCAGGCATGGCCTCTGGGCCCCACTGTGCCTGGACTCTGTGGGTCACTGGGCTTGGGGTGACAAGGGAACCCTGTACCTGTGTGATGATGGCGTCCAGGCCGTTGGCCCCCCAGGCATAGTCCATTGGGTTTGAGTGCAGGACGCCCCTGGCGGCGAGAAGCTGGGTCAGGAGGCTGGGGTGGCTGGGGTGGGACGCCCCACCCTCTACTCACCAGGGGCCCAGGCCCAGGTTGGGGATGGTGGCTGGGGTGATGATGCCATTGACCAGCTGCTGGATGATCCTGGAAGAGAATATGCGACAGGTCTGTCATGACAGGGGCCAGCACAGACGGCCAGCCTGCAGGGGACGCCGAGGGAGCGGCTGGCACCAGCTTTCAGGTGAGCAGTATGGGTTGTTTTTTTTTTTTTGTGGTACAGGAGATGGAACTCAGGACCTTGTTGCCAGGCAGGCGCAGTGGCACTGAGCCACATCCCCAGCCCAGGTTGTTTTTAAATTTTTTTTTATTTTTTGGTACCTGGAATCGAACTTGGGTCCTTGCGCTTGCGAGGCAGGAGGGGTAACCATTGAGCTAAATCCCTGGCCCTGGGTTCTGTTTTTCTAAAAGGGTCCCTCTATGTCACCCAGGCCAGCCCTGAACTCACTATGTAGCCTCAGCTGGCCCAAACTTGTGATCCTCCTGCCTCAGCCTCTGAAGTGCTGGGATCACAGGTGTGTGCTACCATGCACACACCTGGTGGTGACTTTTTCAAAGGAAAAACATAAAAAACAAAGCAAACCCAGGAGAGTGTGCCTGGATCCAGCTCTGCCGAGGCTGGGACACACATGGAGCCGGCTGTGCTGAGGGCTGTCTCCCTGATGCCCCAGAACATGCCCCACTTGAGGTGGGGTGAGAAGACCAGGCTCTTCCCTCGGGATGGAGAACAGAGGGTGTCTCCACCTCCTAGCCACTGAGCAGGCCCTCGCCAGGCACCCCCAGCCCCTCACCCTTCCAGCGTGGGGACACCCTCATGCCGGCCAGTAGCCCGCCTGGCAGTAAGACGGGCGCGGGGCTGCCGGGTGCCATGCCGGTGCCGGGACTGATGCTCTCTTTCCCGCCGGCCCTCAGGGTCCCTGCTGTCGTCAGCCTGCGCCCCAGGAGGGAACGTGGGGATCTCAAAGCTGTCATCAAAGATGCCGAAAGCGAACTGTCCATAACCCTGGGGCAGCGTGAACAGATGCTGGTCCACGTTCTAGAGAGAGGGGCACAGGGGCAGGCCTTGAGCTTGCATGGTCCTTGGGGCACCATGTACACAAAGGCCAGGCCAGGCCAGCTGCCAGACCCCCAAACAGAGTCTCCCTGCCCACCACCTCCACCCTGGGTCCTCAGGTCCTCGAGTCCATCCCCAGCCCGGGGTCCATGAGTCCAGGAGAGGAGACGGTTGGCCACAGCTCACCAGGAAGGCAGAGCCCAGGCAGATCTCGGACAGGGCCATGCACCCTCAGCCTCTGCCCACCAGGCCAGAGCAGGCCAGGGCTGGGGCTCATGGGGGCTGTGACTCACCTCAAAGGGTTGCCGGCTCTGGTCAGAGGGGGCTGTGGATGGGGCGGAGCTGTTCTCTGTACTCCTGCGGACACAGCGCCTGTCAGCAGTGCCGCAACCCTCCCCACCAGGCACAGGGCTTCCCCGCACCCACTCTTGTCCTGCTTGTTGGGAAAGGAGGAACTCTGAGGACAGGGTACCTGTCACCTCCCTCTGCCTCAGGCTTTGGCCCAGTGGTCAGGCCAGAGGTGGCAAATCTCAGGTGACCCAGATAGCCCCGTGCCCTGACCATCAGAAGCCTCATGCCAGCTCTGCTGTCAAACCTGCCTTGTCTGCCCCCACAAAGATGAGTGCTCCCTGTCCCCACACACAGGGATGCTGACCAGGCTGGGGCAAGTAAGTGACACTGCAGCCACACCCCTGCTCCACCCTCTGCTGCTGGCTACAGCCCTGCCTGTTCGCTGGCCTCCAAACCACAGGGCAGCTACCTGGTCTCCTCTGGAAGCTCCTCAATGAAGCCCGACTCACATCTCGGACAGATGTAATCCTGTGGGAGAGAGTCGGGCAGGGTCAGCCTGCGGCCCACCCCAACCTGCCCTCCGCCAGGGTCCTGTGCAGCCAGCGGGGTGTGAGGGCCACTCCCTATGGTGAGGCCCAGGGGACACAAGCTCTGCTGGCCACACGTGGTGAGGGCAGTGACAGCAGCATCCTTAGGCTCAGCAGTTCCAGGTGAGGCCCAGTCTCCTCGCCCCAAGAGACCCAGACTCAGTGCAGCTCCCACCGTGACACAAGGTCTCTCGTGTGCCCACAGCAGCATGGGGGCCACTCCAGAGCCCCAGGTCCCTGATGTGTAGTCCCAGAGGAGTGCTGAGGGCCCAAGCAACACACAAGT